GGAGAGGGGCGCGCGAGGAGCCAGCATCCCCCTTACAGCTCCGCACAGACACTCCCGCGGGTTCTTCTGACTTGTTAAGGGCGACTCGTTCCCCGCGAGCACGAGACGAGCTCCGAGTCCTCCTCTGTCAGCCGGTGCACTGTTCGAGTCCAGCTGCCGCTCCGTGTGTGGCAGCCTCCTCTGGGCCGCCCCCTCTTTTATAGGCCGCTCCTGACCGCGCGAGGAGGGGGCGGCCGGGTGCGAGCGTCTTATGGAAACCACTGTCCTTTGGTATACAAAGGCAGGAAGCGGATACTTGTCGCCCGCCGCAGAAAGGGCGAGCGAACGTGTCTCATCTTCTGAACCACTGTGTCATTTTAAACTGCGCCTGCAGCTGCTGGTAGTAGCCGAGACTGATCCCCAAAACAAATTCTGAGCGTTAGCAGATTTCACTTTGTTTAAAATACAGTTAACTAGTCTGTTAGCCAAATATCCCACAAGCTACTGAATGAATGAAAATGTAAGTTTTAGGAACTATTTCTTGTGCTCTGCCTCTAATAAACTTTTAGAACAATTCAAGTAAGACTGGATGTGTCCCCAACAGGAGACAACAGTGTGCAAATGTTGCCCTGACTCGGTGTGGAACTCATCCATCATCCGTTCTTCAAGCACTTCTCCTGGTGCGACATGTTGGTTTAAACGTGTGCAATAACTGCTGGAGCAAAACATGTCAGGAGTATTTATGAAAACATTCAGTAGATTTATATCTACAGCTGATTCACTTTCAGAGTCAAACAACTCAAGATGGCCGCCACAACTAGCCAACACTCAGATGTTTGTATCTCTGTTAGTGCAGCAGCTGAGCATGTGCATAATGTTTCTCTCAAGGTTTGACCACAACGCCATCATTTCTCCACGAAAGTTTAAAGTTGTGCTAAAGTGGCGGATGATATGCATTCCTTCAATAAACTCTTGGTTTTTATTACAACCGTGTGGTTTTAACTGTTGGAAATCATAAATTCCTCATATCAGGGTCAGTGGTGTAGTCTGTTTTTGTATACTGCGGTCAAGTTAGTTTTACTTTGGACACCGAGTGCGAATGTCCAACATCCAAGTATAACAACTTTACTGCGGTCAGTCCATATACTGGGATTAGAAACCAAAGTACACCAGTTAGTACAATGTAATCATCAAAGTATTTAGATTTTTATTGAACATTTCCAAATGCCTCTGATGTTTATATTTGAATAAATGAACAACAGTACAACAGTTGAGTTTGTATTAAAAACATGTTACAGAATTTATAAAACAGTATCAAAGCAAAACATGTTCAAGTATTAAGTGGTAAGTACAGAAGTATTAATTACACAATAATTCGCTTGATAAACGAATGTAATAAACAAGCTCTGCAGGCCGATCGATTGTTAGCGAAGCGTTTAACTGCTGTTTAACACATCAATGACACATGTCTAATCATATGGCATGGATCATTGGGCACGTTTATGAGGGTACACTGAACTTATTAACTTTTAGTGGGTATACTCCGTGTACTTGAGTATCACATCGACTACACTACTGGGAACATTCATAAACATTTTGTCGTGGTTTGCTCCTGTGGCGGCACGGTGGGGCAGTTGGTAGAGCTGTAGCCTCTCAGCGAGAAGGTCTTTGGTTCAAATCCCAGCTGGGGACCTTTCTGGGTGGAGTTTGCATGTTCTGTCCGTGCATGCGAGGGTTTGCTTCGGGTGCTCCGGTTTCAGACCAAAAACATGCATGTTAGGTTGACTGGTAACTCTCGAGTGTCCTTGTGATGGACTGGAGACGTGTCCAGGTGTCCCTGTGATGGACTGGAGACGTGTCCAGGTGTCCCTGTGATGGACTGGAGACCTGTCCAGGTGTCCCTGTGATGGACTGGAGACCTGTCCAGGTGTCCCTGTGAT